GTATAAAACAGCCTGCCTGCATCTGATAACCTGCAAGAATTTACAACAGAAGTTAAATATACATGAAAGGATCGATATTCTTCTTTTTCTTCTTCTTTTTAATAATAATCATAAAAATAATATGTTTACTTATTTAATTTTTGGATCAGTATTTTATTTCACATTTTTAAATATAAATTTATTTACTATATATTAATATATAAATGTATTATATCATCTAAATATTTATAAATAAAAATAATAATAAAAAAAAATAATAAATTGTTACTGTCATAGCGAGGAAATGTATAAGCATACCTGGTATTTCTCAGGTTAAAGCAGGGATGAATGATCACATACATAAGGTCAGTATCTGAATGCTCTGTATCTCTGAAGTGCAGATGGCTCTGAGTGATGTAAACAACCTCGGTTTCCTTCACCGTGATGGAGCGAACCGTTCCGGAAACTTCCTCAGGCAACTGGTCCTTCACTGGAAACACATGGATCACCACAGTCTATGGATGAAGTGGTACAGAAAGAATATTTTGGTTATAAATAATCACACTGAAACAGAATTCATTATGAAAACAGATACAAATTTACATGTCTGTCCGATAGATTTGGAGGCTGTTGGACATCTGAGAGGATGAAATCAAACGAGTCCTCAAACACTTCCTCCCCTGAGTGCTTGTAGTAGATTAGACCTTGAAACAGGTCCCTCTGCAAGAAGCTCTTCACTGGGACACCTGGTTGACATGACACCATATAATGTAAGGCACCTCAGATGAGTTAAAAATCTTAATATAACCTATTAAATCCATCTGACCTGGTTCATGTGGAGAGGACTTCTTAACCAGCTTTCCTGCTCTGGGAAAAGTAATCAGCTGATACTGAATGTAGTCGTCGCTGGAGTCCAAGTCTGAGGCCATCAGCATGTACTCCTCCACCCTAACTGTGCCACCTTCCTGAACCTCAAAGGCCACGTTATTGATTAGAAAAGGAGGGGTGTCATCTTTTGGAAGAACGTAGATGGGGAATTTGTGTCTGATGCTGTGGCGGCCATCTGTGATTCGGAAGACAATGTAATCCCTGGTGGTGTCGCTGTCCGAGTGATGATAGACCACGACGGCCTCTCTGAGATCCTTGACCTTAAACATGAAACCTTTTCCACCTTTGGATGAATAAGAAAGGATTGGTTACAGAATATGGGTTTAGTCTGTTTTAATGTTTGATGAATGAAATTCCAGGTCAAGTTAAAGGGATAGTTCACCCCAAAATGAAAACTCTGGCATCATTTACTCACTCTCATGCCATTCCAAACCTGTAAGACTTTCTTTCTTCTGTGAAATACAAAAAAAATAGTGTTTTTTAGTCCATAGAATGAAAGTCATTGGGGTCCAATGTTGTTGTTTTGGACCCCACTGATGTTCATTGTATGGTCAAAAACAGCTTTCGGGTGAATGATCCCTTTAAGTCAAGTAGTCAGCATAATGTGATAACATTTTCACACCCATCTACACAATCATTTTCAATATCATTAATTTGGCTCGATGCAGTTGTGAAAAATACGTTTTGTTTTTCGCCTGAAGGCACAAACATTGGCTCTGGCTTCTCCCCATTGCGGAAAAATAAAAAGAAAGATGGCGTCCTTCCCAGGCAATGGCTGCTGCCCACCGTGAAGCTGAGCTTCTCCTGCTTGCCAAGGAGACAGAAAGGCAAGGTCACCAGACAGATTGAATGATGACTGGTTGCACAGCAAACCTAATTAGCAACTTTATCAGGGGGAAATGGCCACGAGTCCAATGGAGAAACAAGTAAGTAATTGGGCCCAAAGGTGGCTGTGGGCAGCTGGCCCAAAAAAACAGTCTCCATATAGATACTCGACGGAAGAGGACATTGGGCGGCAGCTTTCCATTTGGCCGAAGGCTGA